ATGCCCCCTGACTTCAGATTATACTTCAAAGCTACAGTAATCAAAACAGTATGGTACTGGCACAAGCACAGACACATAGATCAATGGAACAGAATAGAAAGCCCAAAAATAAATCCATGCACTGCGGTAAATTAATCTATGACAAAGGTGGAAAAAACATACAATGGGAAAAAGACAGTCTCTTCAATAGCTGGTGCCAGGAAAACTGGACAGCTACATGTAAAAGAATGAAATTAGAACATTTTCTCATGCCATATACAAAAATAAACCCTCAATTTGGATTAAAGATCTAAATGTAAGACCAGAAACCATAAAACTCTTAGAGGAAAACATAGGCAGTACACTCTTTGACATAAGTCTTAGCAATATTTTTTATGGATCGGTCTCCTTAGGCAAGAAAAACAAAAGCAAAAATAAACAAACAAATGAGACCTGATTAAACTTAGAAGCTTAGAAAGCATCAACAAAACAAAAGGACAACCTACCGAATTTGGAGAAAATATTTACATTGGTATGTCTGATAAGGGGCAATATCTAAAACATGTAAAAAGCTCATACAACTCAATATCAAAAGACCAACCTGATTAAAAATGGGTAGATTGCCTGAATAGACATTTTTCCAAAGAAGAGATACAGGTGGCCAACAGGCACATGCAAACATGCTCAACATCACTAATAATCAGGGAACTGCAAATCAAAACCACACTGGGTTATTACCTCACACCTGTCAGAATGGCTATCAGCAAAAAGACAACAAATAATAAATGTTGGCCAGAATGTGGAGAAAAGGGAGCCCTAGTACACTGTTGGTGGGAATGTACATTGGTACAGCCCCTGTGGAAAACAATATGGAGTTTCCTCAAAAATAAAAATAGAACTATCATATTATTCAGCAACTCCACTCCTGGTTATATATCCAAAGAAAATGAGAAAACACTAATTGGAAAAGATATATGCACCCCAATGTTTATAGCAGCATTATTCACAATAGCCAAGATATGGAAGCAATCTAAGTGTCCACCAACAGATGAATGGATAAAGAAGCTGTGATTATATATATATATATATATATATATATATAAAATCATACATACACACACACACACAAACACACACACACACACACACACACACACACACACACACACAATGGCATATTACTCAGCCATAAAAACGAGCATGAAAATTTGCCATTTGCAACAACATGGATGGACCGGAAGAGTATTATGCTTGGTGACATAAGGCAGACAGAAAGACAAATACTGTATGTTTTCACTTATATGTGGAATGTTAAAAATAAAACAAGTGAATGAATATAACAACACAGAAACATACTCAGAGGTACAGAGAACAAACTAGTGGTTACCAGTGAGGAGAGGGGTGAGGGGAGAGGCAAGATAGGGGAAAGGGATTAAGAGGTACAAACTAGTAGGTATAAACTAAATAAGAAAGGCAAATATATTGTACAGCACAGGGAGTATAGCCAATATATTATATTTACTTTAAATGGGGTAAAATCTATAAAAATATTAAATCACTGCTGTACACCTGAAACTAATATAATATTGTAAATCAACTATACTTCAATTTAAAAAAAGACAACAAATAACTAAGTTAAGAAACTATACTATGTCAATGAGAAATCTGCTTAGAGTAAGTTTGTGCACTATAAAATAATGGCAATTTGAGATTACACCACTTTGAAGCCATCTGCCTGTAACATGATATTTCACAAGTGCTAGAATTCCCTGGTGATCCTGTGGCTAGGACTCCGTGCTTCCACTGCAGGGGGCCTGGGTTCGACCCCTGGTCAGGGAACTAAGATTTTGCAAGCCTCACAGCATGGCCAAAAAAAAAAACCAAGTGCTGTCTTGACCCAGTCTTCCTGCCATGACTGAAACCCTCTATTCCACTTAACCTGCAATTTGTCAAATCCCCATCCCAACTACTTCCCTTATCAGGCTCTAACATTACTGGGTTATTTCTTTTTCTTTATTTTTTTGGCTGTGTCAGGTCTTAGTTGCGGCCTGAGTGGTCTTCGTTGCAGCCTGCGGGATCTTTGTTGTGGCTCGCGGGCTTCTCTCTAGTTATGGCCTGCAGGTTTTCTCTCTCTAGTTGTGACGCATGGGCTCCAGAGTGCATGGGCTCTGTAGTTTGTGGCATGCAGGCTCCAGAGCACGTGGGCTCTGTAGTTTGTGGCACGCAGGCTCTCTCGTTGAGGCGTACGAGCTCAGTAGTTGTGGCACGCTGGCTTAGTTGCCCCACGGCATGCGGGATCTTAGTTCCCCGACCAGGGATGAACCCGCATCACCTGCATTGGAAGGCGGATTCTCTACCACTGGACCACCAGGGAAGTGCCCACTCTTGGGTTATAATACATATATACCCAACTGCCAGAGGCCCCCTTCTCCATACCTATACCGAGGGACAGCCCCTTCTTTCTTAGGCCTGAAGAATTATTCAAAATACCCAATACCCTAGAAGCCTATGAAACCTAGCTACTCCTGTTTGCCATACATAAGCATTTCCTGCAGTTCCAGCTTACTGTTACCTATCCCTGGGTGCAAATTCCTGTGTGGCCCTGTGTGACAGCCTTGTCTAGTTTGGAGCTATAAGTAACAAAGAGTTCTGCCTTTCATCTATCTGTCTTTGAGTTGTGTCCCATCATCAAAAAAACTTTAAATCTTATAAAACATCTAGTCTTACCCTGACTGCAACACCAGCTGTCACTAACTGACAGCTGCCTGTACTTGGTTCACTATTTACACTGACTACAAATTATTTCTGCCAAGTAGTGCCAATTGCCAACTTCTTGCCTTTAAATAGTGCTTTATAAGTTTTATACCATATGCCTATATTTTTCCTTAATTTAGTCCTCACAACAGCTTTTAAGGAAAAAATGGCATGATATTACACCAATTTGATTGATGAGGTTAAGGCTCTAATCTGTCACTCAGAGGCAAAGCCAGAACTAAAAACAAATCTTCTGGTTCTTAGTTTAGTGCTATTTCTAGCACAACTTTGTGCCCACCATTCAATTTAGCACTATCTTTTAAATTAAAATTTTCCTATTTAAAGAGTACACAAGAAACTGTTAACTCCTTGTAAGGCCACTCCTTTCCTCCCCCTCAATATCAAGGACAATAGGACTTAAGGGTAAGCCACAGAACTCCCTAAGCCTTGACACCATCACCACCATTGCCAAGCATGATTTAAGGGACCTCGGAACTCTGGCACTTCTGGAAAGACAGCCCCTCTAGCCTTAACTCTGTCCACAATAGGATTGGAAGAGGGTCCCCAAGTGCAGCACACTTCTAATGAGATCCTCATTCTACCACACACACCTCATCTACTCACTCCCAGCCAACCCTTATACCTTACCTCACCACTGACAAGATGACTAGACCAGTCCCAAGAAGGGGGCTATAATTAGAACTGATTATCCACCTACCCCTGAGAGTACTAATCCCCTCATGTCCTATATCTCTGCTTACAACACAAGAATCCTTGGCCTCCAGATCATTCCTCATCATAGAGATTCTTACCCTATCATAGTCCTCTACACTGCCTAATTTGAATTAGACTCTGACCCCCCAAATAACATCTAACTCCTTCCACTGTGACCTCTGGAATTCAGGATTTGTCATCAGTAAAATCAAGTAAATATTCCCTTTGCTCTTCATTGCTGCCTCAAGTACCACTTTCCTCCTTCCTCCCTAAATAATGTCCTGATCCTTTGAGACATCAAGCCATACCACACACTACCCTTCCTTGTTATTATCACCTACCATAGTCCTGGTCATTCTCCTTCTTTCATTAAAGACTCCCTCAACTAGCTTGCTATCTCACTCTCCATAACCCCATCATCATTCCTGGTAATATCCATGTGGACGATCCATCTTATGGCCTGGGTTCAACTGCACAAGTATGATCATTAAAATACTGAAACATTTTCATAGCCACTAGTGCCTCCAAGACCCTGCATAGCACGATAGCCTACATTCATTTTGATGGATCCATGCCTACCCCTAGTACTGGCAGTTAAATATTTTGATTACTATCCCTGCTAATACCAAGCCTCCCAGTTCTTTGACTTTTTCTTACCTTAAATGATCTTGTCTACCACCTCAGTCACCCACTTTCACAATCATATCCTATATCTAGTTAGTACCAACAACTGCAACCCCCATCCTAATCTCCAGTTAAAGCATCCTACTCTGCCACCTACACCTTCAGCTTCAACCAATTTGTCTACCTCACTGTGACTCAGGAATAAAATTTATCTTTCATCCCATCTTTGCTCTGTCCCACGCTACTGAAGTCTTCTTTTCACCCATTATGCAGCTTCAATTCCTAAGTCTTATCATTTACTCTATTCTTACTATGTATTAAATTGTCTATTTTGTCAACTGAAAAAAAGTGCACAATGTGAAAGTTGCGAGTTAAGTTTTATTTGGGGCAAAATGAGGACTATAGCCTGGGAGACAGCCGCTCAGATAGCTCTGAGGAATTGCTTCGAAGAGGTGTGTGTGGGGGAGGTCAGTATATATGTGATTTTGCTGAAGGGCGATACGTGCAATCAAGCACACATTTTGGCAGAAGGTTACTGCTGGTCACAAGAAGGTTGCTGATAGTCACAAGGAGTAGATGTCTCCATTAATGATTTTAGTGCTTTCCTAGATATGAGAAGATGCAAAAAATTGGGCTCATTAAAACCTTCTCCTAAAAATATCTATCTGAAGGCCTGTTCTGTCAGTTTTTCCCAGAGCACAGAGTGCCTCATTCCTGACCTCCACCCTGAACTCCTTTTAGGGTGTGTTGAAGGTCAGCAACTACAGTGGCTAGTGACCTAATCCTTGTAGAGGCAGATGGCGAGTGACAATTTTTTTTTTTTTTTTTTTTTTGCAGTATGTGGGCCTCTCACTGCTGTGGCCTCTCCCGTTGCGGAGCACAGGCTCCGGACGCGCAGGCTCAGTGGCCATGGCTCACGGGCCCAGCCACTCCGCGGCATGTGGGATCTTCCCAGACCGGGGCACAAACCCATGTCCCCTGCATCGGCAAGCGGACTCTCAACCACTGCGCCACCAGGGAAGCCCAACGAGTGACAATTTTAAGGTGGCAATTTACATCATCTCATTTACTCTTCACAACAACCCTACAAAGTAGGTATAATGATTTTCATTTTATTAATTAGGAAACAGGTATATCTACATAAATCTGCCCAGGATTATAAAAATAAAAAGTGAGATTCTACGATTTTAAATGTCTGAACCACTATTTCCTTAAAAATAAACTAGGGATAAAGATAATTTATCTATCTCCCTGAGTTGTGAAGATCACATGTACAAAAAAGCATTTTGTAAATTGTGAAGTGCTCTACAAATACCAGTTTTAATTATCGACTACTGACTAGGGGACCCTTACCCTTTCTTTCCACAGGAATCCTAACCTGACACTTCCCTCAACCTTCCTCTTTCTTTTATAGTCCTAGACATAGTGGACACAAACAGCTGCACTGCCCTGTTGGTAGAAAACTCATCTCTGACATCAAGCTTCAAAACTTTGAATGGAAGAAAAGCAGTGTTATAAATGGTGATTAGACTCTAATTAGCAACTGGAGGTATGGTTTATTATAGCGGAAAAGGTTTTTGTAAGCCAAGCTGCTAATTCATTGCAATCAACTGACTAATAAAGAAACTCTTATAACACAATCCTAAACTGGTGAACACCTGCATTATATGTTTTTATTCAAACCACAGCAGAACAAGAGTTCAGAAATGAAGGAGCTAAGGCTGACAGGCAAGAGACTGAGTCTCTTAAGGTCTTTTGAAGTCCAAAGGAGAACTTGGAACCTTAAATGATTGTGACCTCTCCCTGAGCCCCAGGAAGAACACAGCTGTGTCCTGAGGAACTGTACTGCACACACTAGAATCTGGCTTTGGGTCCAACTCATCCCATTCGGTCGTTCTGAACTCTATCAACAGGGCAGCCCTGGATGACCAAGTTTCCTTAGAATGATATAATTGGACCCACCAGGTATATCACTTCCTTATAACACTAAATATAGTGACTCTCTATTACTTGATATGGCAAATTAAAAATCCTTGACCCACTATTCTAACCTTTCTATCCATTTCCCCATTTCTTCTCTACTCTAGATAGGCATGTCCACACCTGTGTGTTCTTCACCCCACAGCAGGTACACTTCTGCCTTCTGATTCTACCCAAGATGCTGTTCCTACATTTTGCCCTCAAAGCTGATCTTGAAACTCTTCCACCAGAAAGTCTTAAAAAGATGGAATCACCTGCCTGCTACTCACTGCATATTTAATTACCCCACCTTACACAGGAGTTTGGACTTGTCCATATATTACTGTGAAAGGTAAAGTACCACTCTGGTGACAGGTGCACCAGATTATAAGTCTAAGGCCAGGGTTCAAGTCCTAATTTTGCCTTTTGGCTCACTGGATGCTCCTAAACCCACGCTCAGATAATATCTGCAGTTTGCTGATTGAAAGCTAAAGAGATGGCACATTAAAGCTAATAAGCTAAATATAAAGGTATTTTATATTTTTTTCCCTGTGATGTTAAAAAACAAAGTTCTGGCATAAAGTAGATGTTTATTAAATATTAATGACCCATTATTGGGCCATCAGGCCAAAGATGACTATTTTGCCTCCTTTTTCTTTCCTCTTTTGATATAATCTGCCAGCTCTCCCCAAATCTCTCTTTCAAGTAAAGACAGCTTGGTTATTTAATTTAATTATATGTGTGACAGAGGCAATGCTAATTGTTCATCAAACCCCATTTCCTTTTCTACTGGGGTGCACACACTGTACAGCCACCCTGCAGTTAGGTGGAACCATATGAGCATGCACCTTAGTCATGAATTCTGGCTAAGGAAATGTGTGAAAATGATGGAGAGCACTTCCAGGGCTTGTCCCTGATATCTCCAATAAGTCAGCCACAGCTTTCCTCCTTTATCTGAGGCCCACAGATTGGATGATTCCAAGGCAACAGGGGATGGTAGAACCACAAGATAGAAGAAACCTGGTCTTTCCATGATTGCAAGGAGCAGACACCCCACCCACTGGCTCCAACAAGCCTGCTACACACTGTGACTTATGTGAAACATAAGCTTTTATTATGTTAAACCATTGAGACACTGGTATTGTTAACATACCCAGATTAACATACCTTGTATTTCTCACCTGTGGAAACATAAATGCAAAGAACCCCTGGACTTAGTTCCAGGACCTGAGATACAAATCCTGGCTTAACACCTCCCCCAAATACCCTATGATCTGCTCTACAACATGGTCTATACCCTTCCTCAACTGCATGTCTAGCACATTCTCCTCTTTTTTTTTTTTTTTTCTGGTACGCGGGCCTCTCACTGTTGTGGCCTCTCCTGTTGCGGAGCACAGGCTCCAGAGGCGCAGGCTCAGCTGCCATGGATCACAGGCCCAGCCGCTCCGTGGCATGTGGGATCTTCCCGGACCGGGGCACGAACCTGTCTCCCCTGCATTGGACTCTCAACCACTGCGCCACCAGGGAAGCCCACATTCTCCTCTTTTTCATTAATGGAGACCTCCCCACTCTTCTCTCCCTCAAGACTTCTGTCAGGCCTATCTCTGACCTCCCACCCATACATGTTTACTTCTTTGCTCCTAGTGCAAAGTATATTCCTCTACTTCAGCATTTGTCACATTTTATTGCAAATATTTGTTGACATGTGTTTCCACAGACTGAGTTCTTGAATCCACAGACAGACAATTCCTTTGGGACCTTTGACTTCCAGGATTTAGTTACAGTGCCTGGCACATAGCAAAAAATAAATATATATTAAAGGAATGTTTGTCACCTATGACCTTAAGTGAGTCACTTATTTTTTAAGTCTATAAAATAAAATTGTACAGAATTGTTCAGATGATGAAGTAATGAATGTGATTTGTAGATTATAAACAGATTCTAACAGTAATCTGTTTATTCTGTTTTGTAGGCCCTTTCTCATCTTTTCCAGTCAAATCTGTCTAATGCTTCGAGGTAGCTTTGTCCAGTAGAAATAAAATGTAAGCGGCAAATATAAACACCTTAGTACCCATAATTTTAAAAGTTGAAAGAAAGAATCAACATTGTGAAAATGACTCTACTACCCAAAGCAATCTACAAATTCAATGCAATCCCTATCAAACTACCACTGTCATTTTTCACAGAACTAGAACAAAAAATTTCACAATTTGTATGGAAACACAAAAGACCCCGAATAGACAAAGCAATCTTGAGAACGAAAAACCTAGCTGGAGGAATCAGGCTCCCTGACTTCAGACTACACTACAAAGCTACAGTAATCAAGACAGTATGGTACTGGCACAAAAACAGAAAGATCAATGGAACAGAATAGAATGCCCAGAGATAAACCCACGCACATATGGTCACCTTATCTTTGATAAAGGAGGCACGAATGTACAGTGGAGAAAGGACAGCCTCTTCAATAAGTGGTGCTGGGAAAACTGGACAGGTACATGTAAAAGTATGAGATTACCCAATAAAGATGTTAAAAAAAAAAAGTATGAGATTAGATCACTCCCTAACACCATACACAAAAATAAGCTCAAAATGGATTAAAGACCTAAATGTAAGGCCAGAAACTATCAAACTCTTAGAGGAAAACATAGGCAGAACACTCTATGACATAAATCACAGCAAAGATCCTTTTTGACCCACCTCCTCCTACAGAAATGGAAATAAAAACAAAAATAAACAATGAAACGTATGAAGCTTAATGAAACGTAAAAGCTTTTGCACAGCAAAGGAAACCATAAACAAGACCAAAAGACAGCCCTCAGAATGGGAGAAAATATTTTCAAATGAAGCAACTGACAAAGGATTAATTTCCAAAATTTACAAGCAGCTCATGCAGCTCAATAACAAAAAAACAAACAACCCAATCCAAAAATGGGCAGGAGACCTAAATAGACATTTCTCCAAAGAAGATATACAGACTGCCAACAAACACATGAAAGAATGCTCAACATCATTAATCATTAGAGAAATGCAAATCAAAACTACAATGAGATACATCTCACACCAGTCAGAATGGCCATCATCAAAAAATCTAGAAACAATAAATGCTGGATAGGGTGTGGAGAAAAGGGAACACTTCTGCACTGCTGGTGGGAATGTGAATTGATACAACCACTATGGAGAACAGTATGGAGGTTCCTTAAAAAGCTACAAATAGAACTACCATATGACCCAGCAATCCCATTACTGGGCATATACCCTGAGAAAACCATAATTCAGAAAGAGTCATGTACCAAAATGTTCATTGCAGCTCTATTTACAATAGCCCAGAGATGGAAACAACCTAAGTGCCCATCATCAGATGAATGGATAAAGAAGATGTGGCACATATATACAATGGAATATTACTCAGCCATAAAAAGAAATGAAATCGAGCTATTTGTAATGAGGTGGATAGACCCAGAGTCTGTCACACAGAGTGAAGTAAGTCAGAAAGAGAAAGACAAATACCGTATGTTAACACATATATATGGAATTTAAGGAAAAAAATGTCATGAAAAACCTAGGGGTAAGACAGGAATAAAGACACAGACGTACTGGAGAACGGACTTGAGGATATGGGGAGGTGGAAGGGTGAGCTGTGACAAAGCGCGAGAGAGGCATGGACATATATACAGTACCAAACGTAAGGTAGATAGCTAGTGGGAAGCAGCCGCATGGCACAGGGATATCGGCTCGATGCTTTGTGACCGCCTGGAGGGGTGGGATAGGGAGGGTGGGAGGGAGGGAGATGCAAGAGGGAAGAGATATGGGAACATATGTATATGTATAACTGATTCACTTTGTTATAAAGCAGAAATTAACACACCATTGTAAAGCAATTATACCCCAGTAAAGATGTTAAAAAAATAAAGTATTAAAAAAAAAAGTTGAAAGAAGTAGGTGAAGTGAATATCAACAATACATTTTAGCCGAACATATTCAAAATATTGCTTATTAGCTATTGTACATTTTGTTAATTAAGTCTTCTAAATCTGGTGTGTATGTTACAACACACCTCAATCCGGAGGCTGGTGGCTCCCGCAAATTGGACAATGCAGGCGCAAGGCCGACTTCAGACACACGTCTTGGTGAAGTCAACCTCGTTCAGAATTAGTGACTCCTCCTCAACGCTCTCTCCAGCCCCTTATCATCACCCTGGCTATCCTGAAACCTAGAAGGTGAGCTCCTTGAGGAATTCCAGACCGTTGTCTCGAGAAATCTCTCTCACATCGATCGTTGGCATGTGAGGATAGGTTGTTAAATGTCGAGGTAATTAATGAACCTGTGTGCAAAGGACCCCACGGGAGGCCGCGTGGCCAGGACGGAAGATGGTCAGTCAGGGAGAGGGCGGGGTCGAGCCGCCAAGGTCGGCCGGGATCCTGGCGCCTGGGCCCACGGCGTCCAGGGGCGTCGGGCGCCGAGATGCGGGTCCGGGCCGCCTGGGGGCCCTGGAGGCGCAGCCCGTCCCCCGCCCCGGCCCCCACGCCCCTCGGCGCCGCCGCGGCCGCCGAGCCCCGGAAGCGGGCGGGGATTTCCTGTGCCCGCCCCGCCCGCGCCCGCTGGGCCGCCGTCTCCGCCTGTCGCTGGCTCCGCGGCCGCCGGCTCCGAGGAAGCGAGGGCAGAGGGGAGGGGCAGGCGGCGTCCGGGAGGGAGGCACCGGGCCACAGGCCAAGACGACCGGGGTGAGTGGGGCCGGGCGGAGGGAGTCGCGGCTGGAGGGAGGGACGCCTGGCTTCCCGGGGCGGTGAGTGGGGCCGGTCACCCGTGGGGGCGGGGAGGAGGGTCGTCGCGGCCTCTGGGTCGCTGCCATTCTGGGGGGATGTGGGTCGGCCACACTGACACTCTGTGCTCGCCCCTCCCGTCTCCCCGTCCCCCCATCGTCGCTGTCAGGCCCCGCGGGTTCGCACCGCTGTCACCGCTCGCAGGTTACCCCGCGGCTCCTTTTTCTTCACTTGCTCATGCCCCAGTTCACGAGAAACCTGTTTTCTGACCTCACTTCCCCTGCTCCAGCTCTGCCTCTCTCGGGTTCTCTGAAATCTGACCCTCTCCAGGGGCACTGTGACAAGGAGGGCAGAAGCAACCTTACTCTGGAGCGGGCGCCCGTCCCGCCCACACCCCGCCCGGGACAGGGGCCAGGCTTCTCTGACAGCGCGACTGTCCCTGTGTCCTTGGACTACTCATTTCGGTAGCATGGCCCTTTCTCTATCCAACAACACTTGCTGCAGAAACCAACTTCTGCAGGTGCTATGCCCCCCAGATATGTGAGGAAAAGGGGGAAGTGAAAGTCTTAGAACCCCGACTCCAGTAGGCCTGGGATCATCCTGGAGCCAGGAGAAACCAGGTTAGGGCTGACACCTTAACTGCCCAGATGCTGGCTCTGAGAGAGCAAATATTTTAGCAAATGCAGTTTGAGGACAAGTACCTGCCCCCTCCTTTGCTGATATTTCTGCTAGCACTTCCACAGGTTTTCTGTCAGTGGTCTGGAGAGGCTCACATCTGGCCTGTGAAAGAGGCTTCCTATCAAGGGACTCTGCTGCTGGAGAGATGGAGAAGTGGGTCTCAGAGGTGTCCAGATATTTACCTAGAGGTAAAGTCCTGAAAGAGGACTTTCAAACGGAGCTAGAGAATGAGGAAGACATCTGGTGAAGAGAGGGAATCCATGCTTTACATGTTAAAAGTTAAGTGAATACAGGGGCTGGAATTCAGAGGAAAAAGCTAAAATGGAACTTTTCCTTTATTGCTTTATTGGGAATTGTCCTTTCTCATGAGAATTCTCTGAAAAGGAAACCTTGTAAGCTGGGAATCAGTCCAGGATGCTCCCATGAGGCCCTGAGACATCTCTGGACTTCTGAGATGAAAGGGAAATTTGTTCCCTTTCTGTGCATTGAGCTTAGAGTTCCCACCTACCTCTTTTGTCGAAGACAAATAGGCAAGAAAATAAACAACTTGACAGTTGTCATTACCAATCCTGGGCTCCTGGATTCTTGCAAATGTTTTTGGATGGATATGAGTGAGCCAGAACAGTTACCAAGGTTCTGACCTGTTTTTGGAAGACTTTCACTGGCTCTGACTGCTTGGGCATTGAGTAAGAATCACAAAAATATGACGTTGCCAAGCAAAAAGGGACTCTTCACAGTCTCATAGACTATTTCCCTGCTGTAAGGCAGGGAGACCGCTATCACAACACAACCTGTCCTGCTCCTAAGATGTCCAGAGCAAAAAGCCTTCAACCAGGTCCTATGCACTGCAGGATTATTAGGAATGTTTTTTTAATCTAACCTAAATCTCTTCTCTTGCAATCAAGAGAAGAGATCTACATAGAGATAGAAAACATCTCTTTTCATTCATTGGCAGCATCATTCATCAGCCTTCTTCCCTAGTCAAGAGAAGACTATGTCCACTGTTTTGAACTTTCCCCCAGTGTACATATTTCCCATCCCTTTCTTCACTTTTGTTTCTTCTGATGGAACACACTCTGGCTTGACCATACGCTTCTTTAAAATTGAGTACATTTTTATAATGAGATCTGACTGGTTCTATCCTGTGTCTCAGGTTCTTTCCTGTGTCTTAAATCACAGGGCTGTTAATTCACCCCAGGGTCATGTTAGCAGCACCTGCTTCCCCTTTTCTACCTAGTCCAAACCCTTTCTTTTTTTCTTTTCCCAATCACACATTAGCTCCTCACTGACCAACAGTTTCTCTTATCTTTTAGGGTTGCTTTAGAGTCTTATACTTGCTTTCCAAGTTATTGATCTTTCTACCATATTTACTACCAGTTCTCATTTTCTGCAACAGAGTGACAAGTTATATGTCTGTTTGTTGAGGCTTGTCCTAAGTAAGGCACCATTTGGTACAGCCTCATAAAAAATACACCCTTTGACTAGGATTTCTACCTATAGTAATCATTTCATTCTAAACTAACTGATGAGAATGGGATTTGTGGCAGAAAATCTTATGTGTAATTACATCTGTTTTTGTTGAGTGCAAGTCTGTTTGCATCCTGTCCTGCATATTTCCAGATTGCTTACATTCAGTGGTTGAAATTTCCAGTTAAGTATTTTCAGTTGTTGAAATTAATTGATAGCTTTTGAATTTCCAGAATTGTTCTTTTTTTTTAAAATGAAGTTCTTCCAGCCCCAAAATAACCATTTGTGACTTTGCTATGTAGCACCTGCTCTTTTCTGGCTCAGCTTCTATTGATTGGAACACATCAAGCTTTTAAAGTTCATCTTTCATCAAGCTCCTCCTATCCAGTGTCATCTTTTATCCCTGGGCTGTTCTCCATAACTCCCTTAGGAATATCACCCCTTTCCATTTTCATGGGCATAACTGATATGAATTTGTTCCAGGTCACAATTTGGGTTTGTAGCAAAGATGCTTTCAGAACAGACTGCAGCCTTGGGGACAGGATGGGAGTCAATGAGTGTTCAGCTGGATGGAGCAGAGCCCCAGGTGGAAAGGGGAAGCCAGGAAGAGGGGCCATGGAGGACTGCACCAGGGCCACTGGAGCACCTGTGCTGTGACCTTGAAGAGGAGCCACAGTCGCTTCAGGAGAAGGGTGAGAGCCCGGAGGGGGTGTGTGTGGGAAGCACAGTGCAGAGAATAGTCTTCTAATCTCTGTTGAAAAAGTAGAGTTAAAAATCCCCAAATCGCCATGGATTGACTGCACAGCATAGTCAGTACCAGGACTAGGTCACAGAAATATAAGGAACTTCTGGACTCTGGTCACAGAAATACTAATATAATGAACACCTGGATTCTGCAAGCCATGTAACTGGGCTTCTCCCGTTTCTTGCATAATCACTCCCTCCACGTGCTACATGGTTAGTGGTAACAAATATGGGAGACAAAGGAAGTGACAGAAACACTGACTGCTGTTGGAAAACACACTCAGTAAAATGCACTTTACAAGATGAAAATTACATTCAAATAATATAAGTTCAAACCACAGCTAGTCGAGTAGAAATGGATGAGATAAATACTCTACTAACAACCACTCAGTACCCTTTCAGGATATTTTGAGGGAGGGTCTTTTCTACTACATTTATGCATTGGAGTCTTACCAATGGGTATAAATATAGAAAAAAAAAGTGACCCTTAAGCCCCTCTAAAATAGGGCCCAGGCTCTAACTGGGAAAGATGGATGCTCCATGTCTAATGGTTCCTCTCTCCCCTCACCAGCTCAGTCGGCTCCCTGGGTTCCTGCCATTCCCCAGGAAGGGAGCACTGGAGATTGGGAGATGGCAGCTGCACTGCTTGCAGCTGGATCACAGGTGGGCTGTGTTCTTCCTTTGGCCTCTCTCAGGGTTTTCTCAACGCTGCCTTTCTACAGCCTTTGCATCATTCCATTGATTTGTCATTTCACATGACCACTAATGGTACGTCCATTTTATGTCTGAACAGATTCTGTCCCTTTCCAAGGGGCTCATAATACCCTTTTAAAAAATGAATGGAGGCATGATGAGAAGAAGGGAATTCCTAGAGGTTAGGTGTTTTTTTTTTTTTTAATGGATGGCTGTGCTATCCACAGGGGGAATTTAAGAATAATTCATTAATGTCCTTTAAGAAATGAATCTGGAAATATTAGGAAAAGAGGACCTGAAGGAAGCTTAGAAGAACATAAAGTAGACAGGATTGGGTGGATGATAGAGCATTTATGGAAAAGAATAGAAGATAGAAAGATGTAAAAAGGGGCAGAGCCAGAGAGAGAAAACAGGTTTAGATTCAGAAGGCAAGGGGAGAGCCGTGGGAAGACAGTAATAATAGTAGTAGTAGTATCCATACTCCCAAAGTGCTTACCATGCTTGCTGTTCTCTGAGTGCTTTATGTATATTAACTCATTTTACCCTGAGAGAAACTCAGTTATCCCCATTTTACAGATGAGAAAATTGGACAGGAAAAGATTAAGGCACTTGTGTAAGGTCATACTGCTAATAAGTGGCAGAGCTAGGAGTCATTTGGCTCCAGAATCTGGGCTCCTAACTGCCACACTATGCTGCCTTAAAAGATAAGGATATGGCATAATGGGGGAAGGGGGCAAGAAAGAATATTTTCTCTATATTCTTTTATGCTGATAGGAAAGGAAAGGTCAAGTGGAGAAAGGAGGAGCTAGGACACAATTTCTACAAGGAAAAGAATAAGGCCAGTGAGAAGAGACTGGGCAGACACCTGTAACTAAACAGAGGGACCAAAGAGTTTGTGGTGCCTCCAACTTCTCATGGTCCCAATTTGGGAAAATCCTCTACAGCCGTTTTCCTCACTCATTCACAGACCATTACCTTTACCCCTTTCCTCATTTCCTCTTCACCAAAACCATGTGCCCTGCCCAGGGACCTCTGGGCAGTTCTTTTTCTAGACACTCTCTTGCCCTCTCCCCTCTACTACTACCTCAGCCTTTTATACTGAGAACCCATTTCCCTTAAGGAACAGCTGCTGACAGATGATGCTACATTTTGTTTCAGGGCCTGGTAACCATCAAGGATGTGTCACTGTGTTTCTCTCAGGAGGAGTGGCGGAGCCTGGACCCTTCTCAGACAGACTTTTATGGAGAATACGTCATGCAGGAAAACTGTGGGATAGTAGTCTCTCTAAGTAAGCATGACCTTCCCCAGCCACTAAATGACTGTGCTCTGGGAGAATGGAGTCGTCTGCTCCAGGGCTGTTGGAGAGCGTCTATTTGGGGTTCTTTTCTAGGCAGAGAATCTGTCTAAGCTTCCACTAGAGAAAGAATGCTAGAGTTAATTCAAAGGGAATGGAAGTAAAGTGTCATATTTTTAAAAACAACAAAATGATGTGAATTATTAGAGAAGAGAACTTTAGGCTCTTCTTGGTTGGGAATTGGGAGGTTCTTTCAAAGCAGAGAGAAGGACATCTAAGAGATGGAACTGAGTCCTTGGAAACTCAGAAACCACCTAGGGAAAGATGGGAGTGTAGGTGGTGAGACAGCTGCAGTAGGGCTAATTAAGTGAAGTTATGACCAGAAAAGACAGTGGGACTGGAAGTATTTGAAATTTGAGTGGAAGAGAGCACTCATTGGGAAGAAAGTATGATTTTCTGAAAGAAAGAAGAGGGACTGAACAGGAACGGGAGGGGGGAAGAGGGAAAGGCTTGTATCTGGCCTTCTGTCTTTTCATTTTTTAATATTTCTCTGCTGATGTGGTTGCGCTGTGTCTTAGCTGCGGCACACAGGATCTAGTTCCCTGACCAGGGATCGAACCGGGGCCCCCTGCCTTGGGAGCATGGAGTCTTAACCGCTGTACCACCAGGGAAGTCCCCTGGCCTTTCTTTTATCTATAGAGTTCCAGGGAATAATCTAGGAAACAGCTTTTTTCAGAAATGAGAATTACGGTTGAACTAATTGACATCTCTGTTTTCCTTTCCCATGGGCAGGATTTCCAATCCCCAAACTGGACATGCTTTCTCAACTAGAAGGAGGGGAAGAGCAATGGGTTCCTGACCCCCAGGACTTAGAAGAGAGGGACATTCTGAAGGTCACATATACAGGTAATGACGTAGAACACACTCAGCCACGGCCTTCACCCCTTTTGGAGTTTCATCATTACACGGCCCTCTAATCCGTCCTCTGCCTCAGAGAGTTACAGTACTGAAAGGTTTAGAGATCTTTTTCTTCAAAAGCAAGACGGTGTAACACAGTGGTTTAGAGGGCAGGCTCTGGAGCTAAACTTTGTGGATCTGAATCCAGGACCATACCTGTGGAACCTTGGAAAAGTAATTAACTTATCTTTGGGTTCCTCATCTATAAATTATCGTGAGATTTAAATATGTAACCATAGTAGAACAGTACCAGCCACATAATAAGCACTCAGTAAATGTTAATTGTTGTGGTTGTTCAACCTGCCACCCATTGTGGAAATGCCTTCCACAGTGTCTCTAGTGCTGACAGGTGGTCACCCAGCCAGTGATGATTGTAGCACGTTTCTTAACTCTCTCCATCTATGCTTAGGCAGGAAGATGGTGATTAATAGTTTTTTTTTAAGTGCTAAATAAATAACAGTAATAAATAAGTAACAACAATAGCATAGACCATTTACTAGTGCTTACTATATGCAGGTACTATCTGTCTTATAACATCTATCTTATAATGATTCCCATTTTACAGAAGAAGAAATGAAAGCCTACAGAAGTTAAGTGGGAAAGCTGAGATTCGAAATTGGGTATCTGTCTCCTAAGCCTAGGCTTTTAACCTCTGTACCTCTTGCACTGTCTTATACAACATTAAAATCTGTTCTCTCAGCCTTTACGGGGTGAGGTTTAGGCCCTAATAGGCATCATACAACCTCACCTCTGACTCAGGTCCTGGGGTACTCCTTTGTGACTCCCCTCTTGGGGTCGGTATTTTCCCTTCTCCACAGGAGATGGAAGTGAGCACGAAGGGGATACCCCTGAACTAGAAGCAGAACCTCCCAGAATGTTATCTAGTGTGTCTGAAGATACCGTTCTCTGGAACCCAGAGCAGGATGAGAGCTGGGATTCCATGCCCAGGAGCTCCAGAGGCATGCTCCTTGGCCCACCATTTCTTCAGGAAGATAGCTTCTCAAACCTTCTGTGTAGCACAGAAATGGATTCCCTGTTAAGACCGCACACGTGCCCCCAGTGTGGGAAACAGTTTGTGTGGGGCTCCCACCTTGCCAGGCACCAGCAAACACACACTGGGGAGAGGCCCTACAGCTGCCTCAAGTGTGAGAAGAGCTTTGGGAGAAGACATCACCTGATCCGACACCAGAAAACCCACCTACATGACAAACCCAGCAAGTGCTCTGAGTGTGGCAAGAATTTCCGATGCAATTCCCATCTGGCCAGCCACCAGAGAGTACATGCAGAAGGCAAGTCCTGCAAGGGCCAAGAGGTTGGAGAGAGCGCTGGGGCTCGGAAGCGGCAGCGCGCTCCCCCAGTGCCGAAGTGCCACGTGTGCACTGAGTGTGGGAAGAGCTTTGGCCGACGGCACCACCTCGTGAGACACTGGCTGACGCACACCGGGGAGAAGCCCTTCCAGTGCCCGCGCTGTGAGAAGAGCTTCGGCCGTAAACATCACCTGGACAGGCACCTGCTGACCCACCAGGGACAGAGTCCCCGGAGCAGCTGGGACAGAGGGACATCTGTCTTTTAAAATCTGTTTCTGTTGCAGCTGTGGTCACATCTTTCAACCGGTGCTACCAGGAGTCTCTGCCAGAGCTGACCCTCTCCTGCACCCCCCGTGGCCAGAGTCATGAGTCCCAGTCCATCCCTAGAAAGATGAGGTTCCAGCATTGGCCAGAGTATTTCTCACCAGTTCTATGAGATGCCACATAAAGTAGAGTTCTTTGGGCAAAACTTTTGGGAAACAGTGCCTACTGCATGGGCTGATATTCAGCCTGAGCCCATTCTCCAGGGTACAGTGGTACCAGCAGTTTTTGGCTAAGGCCCAAACTGCTTGGATTGGTTGGTTGGAGCTTATGCCATACCAGTCGTTAAATATTTTGAGTATCACCCTTCCGTAACATAACTATTCTCTCTCTCTCTCTCTCTCTTTCTCTTTCTCTCTCTCTATATATCTATATCTATATCTATATCTATCTATCTATATATATACATATATATATATATGAAGAGAAAGACCATATTGGCATATTAAAGGCTCTGAAAATTTATGCAGTAGAGCAAATGGTTAAGCCTCTTTTAATGCAGTGTTTCCTAAATTTATTTGACTTCAGTATCCTTTTTATCTCACATCCCACAGAACTGGTGACTCCATGAAACATACTGGTGAACACTGGGTTAGAGAGTAACGAGGAAACAGGAAAGAGATAGTGATCAGGCACCCAGAGCCCCCTTTTTTATCCAGATGAAAGCTGAGGGGCCGACCTTCTTATTGTGTGGGCCCATCATCCTTACACTGATCATCTGAACATACATCCACACCTCTCACCCAACCTACTGAAAAACAGAAACAATAACCTTCTCACCCCTATTCCTGCTCCCTTCACCCTGCGTATACGTATATCCAGCTGAGAGACCACACTACAGTGCTAAGAGATGGACCTTATACCCCCAAGTAACCTAGGCCCACACAGAAGAAAAATACTTTATCCCCTTGAACAGACCCCTTTCCTCTTGACAGTGTCTTTATGTGTCTGTGTATCTGTGTGCAGGGTCTTTGAAGAGAGCATGCAAAGTGCAAACTGTATAAGCTAGATTTTCTAGGGGCTATGTTCTGGGGATGAGGGTAGTGGGGATTGTAAGGATTTTTTTGTTTTGTTTCAAGATAGTAAGTAAGCTGAGTGATCAAGGGAGCCCTAGTGGAAAGGGTTAAGTTGTGGAAGTTGAGATATAAAGCCTTCCCCAGTATCACTGAGATCAAGACAACTGTGGATATTTAAGTCTAGGTCTGAATCTCTGGGCCACAGATTCTTTTTGCCAAAGTGGAGAGAGAAAGAGACATCCTCAGTGAGGTGAGCTGTTTCTTAATTGATTTTAAGCAAGGTACATATAGAAGCTTTGTGCTTAGTGGATTTTTTGGTCTTGTTTGAAGTGCTGCGAAATTAAGGCAGGAGTCACAGTGCCTGCAGGTTGTTATCATCACTCTTGTTTGACCTTGACTGCCTCATCAAGGGGGCAGAGTTATTCTTGTGGATCTCATTCCCCTAAACAGAACTTTAGGGGAAATGGCTGTGGCTTAGCTATTCAGCTGATGCAGGGTAACGAGCTTTCTGGTTGATTTTCCTCCCAATTCTGGAAAGGTGTCTGCACTAAGACTCTTAACTCCAGAACTTGCATAAGTATTCTAGCATCCATTAGTTGATGAGTTGGTCATTGTTTCTCTTTGTTGATGATGTGTTAATACCAATCTTATCATTTAAAAATTACCTTGTATGTAAGAACAGTTTGGGGTTAGGGAGGGAGAAAAGCAAAGAGGATGGAAGTGGGATATTTTCTCTTTAATGCTTAGATTCCGGTTTTTCCTTAACACACGTTTCTCAACCACAGTTGGTGGAATTAACCAGAGAGGCAAGAGGAAGTTAGCTGCAACAGTCTACTTTAATGACTGTTCCACTTGCTTAGGAAAAACTGGGTGAATCATAGCTCCTTAGAGTCCTGGGCCCAAATGGAGCCAAAAATAGGGTCATTTTGCTCACTGGGCTTCTTAGAGTGGATATGACTTGAGCAACCCAGCCCCTACCTCCCTTCTACTCAGAGCAACCTTCCCTCTTTGCCCAGAATGTACTTCTCTTGCTTAGTTCCTATGAATAGAGCAAAATGGCCAGCCCTTTGTAAGGCATCCTTGTCCCAGGTCCTCAGAGACAGGAGCATTTTAGGATCAGTATTAGGAGATGCCCCAGGGCACAGGAAAATATTGGGTTCCACTGGCAAAACTGGACTATGCCATTTCTTTTACCCTCCCACTATGCCTCATTCATTAATACACATCAGCTCTTTGTGAGCAATGGTTCAGTACCTGTTTTGGATCACAGGCCCTTTTGAGAATCTGATAAAAACCAGAAACTCACTTTTGAGGAAAAAAAGATATTAGTAATTCACTTAGTTTTGCATACACATTTAACAGGTTCAGAGCTCATCCATGGAGTCACTAAACAGGGGTCACAGAAAGGGAGTCACCCTGACCCAATATGGTCATTATATATTTGTGTCAAGAATTACAAGGCAAGGATCACTAAACATTTTAAGGACTAAGATACCAGAGGCAATAGGATATAAGGAGTGTCTAGTCTTTAATGACTTGAAGGGTAGTGCTTACATTCTACTCTATGTTTTTTAAAAAATTCATGTGACATGCTGACAAATCCAGCTCCTCACGAACCTTGTTTTAAAGACTTGTATGAGGTGACTGTCCGTACCATCGGATCATGCCTCTTAACGACCAGGTGTTAACCTCCAGCCTTTGATCTGTTTTAGTAATTGTAAGGTGAGAAAGTGAAGCCCCCAAAGTGTAGGTGCACTCATAGCACCCAACTGAAAGGCAGCATGGCGTCTAAGGGCATTCTGCAGAAGGGGCATCCCTTTAGGTCATTTCTGCTGTACTGCTGTCTTCTCTACCTCCGTCCAACACCACTTCCCTTGGACGAAAAATAAAATAAGCAACAGCCATCAGCTGGGCAAAGAGATTTGAGTGGTTTTTCCCACAGGGAACACTCCCATCTTCCTCCCAACTGCCTCTGCCACATGTCTACCCTATCCTATCCCCTTTAAATAAAAAATGTCTCCGTGTTCTCTCTGAGCAAAATGTAAAATAGGGAAGTCCATCTTTAGGGACCTGTCACCTTTTTCCCTCTGTGTGGTGCCTCTACCCTATTCAGAGCCCAAGTATCCTTGCCTTTCCACCCCATCAGAGTATCTCTGCAAAGAATCCCTTACAATGGAGATTGTAACCAAAGGGTTAGCTTTCTCAGAACTATCTACATTTTAAACTGTAGTTCTGATAGTGGAAGTGGAAAAGGGAAAAGATTTTCCCTTGTTAAAGTGATGTTACGCCTTCAGGGAGCAAAGGGGTGATGACTGGGGACAAAATCCTCCCTTTTCCAGCACTCCTACAGTCAAACCACTGTTTCCTATTTCCATCAAGGGCAAGGTGAGCCCTGACTCAGAACCAGAGGTTCCAGAAGACAAGTTCTTTCCATCTCTGTTCAGTTGAGTACACTGGATGGGGGTGAGTGGGGTTGGGCAACAACGGAAAAGTGAAATCTATTCCCTTAGGCCCCTTAGAGATCCTGAGATGGCAAAGTTTACTTCTATTCCTCAGAGTGCTGTACTAGGCCATGGATCTCAAAATGCAATCTTCGGACCAGAAGCATCAATATCACCTGAAACTTGTCTTAGAAATGCAAATTCTCACCCTGGACAAACTGAATCAGAAACTTTGGGGATGGAACCCAGGAATCGGTCTTTTAACATGCCTTTTAACCAGGGTATTTGATGTAGGCTTAAGTTTAAGAACCACTGGCTAGGAGATTCAAATTCCATTTTAATCAGTGGTTCCTCACCATCTTCAAATAGGGAGAGATGGAATCTTCACACCCCTGTTCTCAGATTTATTTTCTGCAAAATCCTAGGCTAGTTGCTCCTCAGTTCAATTCCTCTCGAGTCCCAAGTTATTCCCCCACCCTTAAGTCAGTGAAAGAACTGGGTTAGTCACCAATTTCAGAAACTGTGGTGGGGTAACTACCAAGCTGTTGTAATTGGTTGGGGCTGGAGCTTCTTAAATGGGTATTGAGAATTCATGGGTCTAGAAATCTGAAAAGACAAAAAGGAGCAGACACCTCAAAGAAGGTAAATCCAATGTAAAACCGAAAAATCCAAAGAAATGGTCCTCCTTTGTTAGTTATCTGGTCCTTTTTCAGGCCTAATAAGTTGCCCTGGAGGTAGGCGGGGTGGGCATTTAGCACAAAGGTAGAGAGTAAGGCCATCTGTCCCAAGCCCCTAAGGACCCACGTATTCCTACCCCACAATTGCACTGGAGACCAATAAGGGGCCATGCAGAGGATTCCTAACCATGATTTGGCCAACCCAAATCATGGGCAAGGGCAGCAGGAGTATTAGAGAGCCCCCAGGACATAAGAGGAAACCAGGGTCATTTAGTAAGATATGACACAAGCAAGATTTGAACCTAGACTCTGTTTACTAGGTAGAGGTTGTAACCAATTAAGCCATGGTACCTATGTCAAAACTGCTTCCTCCTGCTTTGAAGATTCTGTCCAGTTCAGGCTACAGGAAGGGATCTGTCTTGCAGGCCCTGGCCCTGATACCTCCTCCACCCCCTCTCCTAGACATACCCATGAAGATAGTTGCAAACCTGCCACCTCTGTGGGGCTCTGCAGCGTCAGAAGGTTAGAGTGAACCCAGGTTTCTTTAGGGGAGGCAATCAACCCCTGTCTCCTAAGGCAGAGAAGGGTGGCTACAGCTTTCTTCAATTCCAGGCCTCAGGCTCTCCCTCTCTCCTTTCTTGCCACAGCCTCCATCCAGTAAGCAGAGCTCTTCCTCCACTCTTCACTCCCACTTCTGTTTTTCAGTTGGTTTGGTTTGGTTTGGCTTTCTGTTTTGTTTTGCCTGGGGAATGCCACACCTTTCCAAGGGTATTTGTTCTTCCCAATTCCTCTCCTTCTTCCATTATAGTTTCTCACTTCACGTTTCTAGCCAATTCCATTCCATCGTGAGCCCACTTGCTACCTGTCCCTCTGCCTATTGTCGCGTTTCTTTTCTGTCATCTTCAAGCCTAAGTAGAGTCCATTGCTCCTATTTCCCACTTTCTTCCCTCAGATTCTTGGCTTGGCTGTAGCATCTCAGCTGCCATCTCCCCACTCTACCTCTCTCTCTCATACACATCTCCGCACATCTGGACTTGGCCAAGGTTGCCTGTACTGCCAAATCCAGGCTCTTTACTCCCTCCCTACAGGCTCTTCTTCCCTTGATGAAGTTTCCATTTTTGGCGTGCTTACTACGTCCCAGGCACTGGCTGTCCCAGGCCTGGGAGACTGAGTATGGTGATGGCCCCTGTACTTAGCATGTTCCTCAGCCGACCCCTCCACTGCCACCACTTTCCTGCCACACCTCAGGACACTGTGCGCCAAGGGACCCTCTTCCAGGCAACTCTGGGGGTGTATGCCCACTGGCCATCCAGCCCAACAGCCTAGTGCCTGCCAGATTTCTAGCTATTGTCTGACTTGGTTCCCTCTGATGGACAGTGAACTTCCCATTGATTACCCAACCAGGGACCTTCATCTGTATCTTTAGAGATCTATAATACAGTATGATCCCTGTCAGTTGAATAAAGGATGTATTGGCTGTGTCGCTGACTTCCTTTCTCCATCCTCTCCTCTCCCTTCCATTCTCAGCTCTTCTCTCCTGATAAAAAGGCTGCAGCAGAGTGGGAAACACCAGATGGCTCCAGGGGGAGTCACGCAGCCATGCAGGAGCCCCCTCGCTGCCCCTCCCAAAACACACACCTCAAGATACCACAAGTTAGGTCTCCCCACCTCCCTCCTAGTGTCTTGGCTCCCAGATGTCACTCCCATCAGCTAGGGAGGCAACCCATTCTGGAGCCTCAGGGAGCAGAGTGCTGAGCAGGCCGGGCCAAGGGTGAGCTGAGTGAGGGCCTAGCACATGAATTTAAGGACGCCTTCCATCTCAGGGTCGTTTAAGGGCTGATCCACTCTTGAGAGACCCTTAGAGTGCTGAGCCTGAGTCTGGAGCCTGAGGTGGTGGTGGTGACTGAACTGACCCCCTAGACAAATTTGCAATTATTGGAGGTTTGGGGGGAGCCAGAGGAAACCTGCACAGATGGGGTTAGACAGGAACTGGGTCCACCAGATGCATTCACCTTTGAGGGTGAAGAGGATGGGCATCTGGTAGAGGGTATCAAGAGGACAGGGTAAGAAACAGTATGGGGAAAAAACATGGAAACCTGGCCTGGGTAAAACCACCAGCCTGTGACCCACTGACATGGCCTCTCACCCATGGAGCTTCACTGGGGTGGGGAGAGGGAATCACTTTGCAGGCATTGGGTGCAGCCCAAAGGCTTTGCTCTTCTTCATGGGAGTTGCCTTCAAGAGCTTCAGTCCTACTGCTTAGGGGGTGATCTGCCTCTGCAGCTTTCTTAACACCAGCCAGGCTGTTTTGCTACCTGCCTCGTACTGCATATGTTTCATTATTTTCTTGCGTTCACTCTTACTTCCCCCCCCAGGCACTTGGAGTAAAACGTTTGACATGTCTGATCTTTCCCCTAACCAAAAAGGGGAAGAGGGAAGGAACTGACAGAGGGAGGAGAAACACAACTGTGATTGTTCATTGATGGGCCTGTTCTCTCAGCCAGTTCCAGTGGTCGACTGAAATCCTGACTTCCTTCTACTTACTCTCCTATCAGTGTCTTTCCTAGCATTGACAGGACTCATGCTGACACTCCGTCAGTCTTCAGTTCCTCTCTTCCAAATTCTTTGGCTTTTTTAAAGTCCTTTCCAGCATGGTGTCCATCAATTAATTCCCCAAGCAACCTGTCTTCCTGTCCTTGCTAGGCCCTTAGGTTTTGGCTGGATCTGCAGCCCAACCAGACAGCCTTGCCATGTTAGAAGTCCTCAGAGGAGAAAGAAGAATAGGAGAAATCTATTGCTTTGAGACCACTGACAAATGGAAATATTTTCATGTTCTGAAAACACACTCCCCCCAATGTGTTGGAGAACACTTTTCCCTACAAGAAACCGCTAAATTATTAAAACACTCAAGTGTATAAATGAATTCTAAACTTCTGACCTTTCCCTACATAAAAAAAGATGTAGAGCTAATGAGTAGATGGTGAGGCCCCACTCAACATCTATAACTGCAAACTGGGTTTGCAGTTAAAAGTCAATTTCTAAATTGTACATTTTCTAAACATTAGCTTTTTAATTTAAAATCTAAGAGATTGTAGTGAAGTAAAATGAAATAGTGCATGCGAAAGTATAAACTACCTTATAAACGAAAAAGCTATAACTGACAATTATGTGGAAATTTCTACCTTCTTTTTGAACAAGTTACAATTTATACGAATCTGAAAATGTGTTAAATGAAACACATTTCTATGTGTTTCCTACAATTCCCATCACCTTCCCTCACAATAGAGAACCACTTAGATTTTTTGTGTGTAATCTTCCAGAGTTTCTTTATACAATTGCAAAGAGATATGTTTTCCTTCATTTTACACAAAAGGTAGTCTGTATACTCAATGTCTTGAATTTTTTCCACTTAATTTATCTTGGGGAGCTTGTCATAACAATACATAGAGAATCTCCCCCTTTTTGTAGCTGTATGCTGTTTCACTGTATTGAAGGTTCACAGTTTAACCAGTCCCCTAGTGATATTTCCATTAATATCATTTAGTGCAATGCTGCAGTAAATACCTTGGACATAAGTCTTTTCACAAATGCATTAATATCTAAAAGGTAAATTCCTAAAAGTGGTTCCACTGGGTCAAAGGACATCTGAATTTGTAATTCTGAAAGCCAAATTTCTTCCACTGGGGTCATGGAGATTTACACTCCCACTAGCATTGTATGTGAGTGCCTGTTTCCCCACAGCCTCACCAATGGAGTAGGTTCTTAAACATTTTAGATTAAAAATGCTGTCTTATTGTTTTAATGTGCATTTCCCTTATGAGTAAAGTTACACTTTTTTCATATATATATATATATTTTTTTTTTGTGGTATACGCGGGCCTCTCACTGTTGTGCCCTCTCCCGTTGCGGAGCACAGGCTCCGGACGCGCAGGCTCAGTGGCCATGGCTCACGGGCCCAGTGGCTCGGCGGCTCGGCGGCACGTGGGATCCTCCCAGACCGGGGCATGAACCCGCGTCCCCTGCATCGGCAGGCAGACTCTCAACCACTGCGCCACCAGGGAAGCCCACTTTTTTCACATTTTTAAAGGCCATTTGTATTTTTTTTCAACAACTATTGAATATTTGATGCTAGAGGACATTACAACTCTAAGGTCCAACAATTTTCTGATCATCGTTACACTAGGCAGTTGAGATAAAAGAAGAGCAAAGAATTGATGTCAGGGATGTCCTATTTGCTCTGACCAAGGTTAAATACCCGAATATGCCACTAGAATGTGAGCACTGAAAAGTGGGGATTATGTTTTATCCATCTTTAGTCCCAGCAAAGGGTTTAGACTCTCGCAGACACTTAGTCATTTGTGAACAACAGGGATGAGATGAGTTATTCTTAGGAATTTCTTCCACAGAAGTATGGTCTAGATAATCTGGATAGCCTACCTATGAGTTAAGGTCATTTCTCATATTTCATCAGAACCACCCTAAAGCTTATCAATGAAAAATAATCTGAAATGACCATTGTTAGCTATGTAAGTTATATAAGTCTGGCACTTAATAAATTTGATAAGTTTACTGAGTGAATGAAGTTTGCTTAAATGAAGAAATCATCATAATACAAACAGAAGCATGAAGATTCTTAGGAAATCTAGAAAACAAATTGTTGTCAGTGTCCTTCCCATCCTAACTTAGGGGAAAAGGATTTCTAATTCCAGACCATCTTGTTCTTTAGGTAAAAACATCCTGGGACTATGAAGGAGCAATACATCTGGCTATCATAAGAGCATTTGATTAATTTTGTTCTGTGTTCAATAGACAATGTTTCTCATTATCTCTTTTCAGGTGTCTATTTTCTGACGGTTTGCTTCATTCTGCCACTCACAGACAATTCAAGTGCACAATAAACCTAACTACAGCAGGGGCAGATTTCAAAGTTCAAATCATCTATTGATGAGATACACTGCAAGCATTTTGCTGTTACACTGTATAGGCTTAAAGCAGTGATTCCCATTTAAGGGTGTGAGAGTGAATATCAGCATCACTTAAGTCTGTTTGTTTTAAATACAAATCCTGTTCCCCCTTGTAGAAGATATCAGACTTTCCTGGGGAAAGACTGGTCAGGTATACTCTAAAAAAACACTGATGTTTACTTCCCTAGGCATCATTTCTGTGTCCTGTCATGGCCTATGGCCTGAGAACTACTCTCGCACTGTGCTTAAGCCCTGCTTTCAGAACCCAAAGAAATCGTACATTTGCTCCAATCTGGTATATAATGCTTAGTACATGTTGTTTTTTTAAGAAGAGCAAAGACCTAGCTATTCATTATTTAGCCTTCTCCGTCTTATATTTCTGATATGCATTCTGTATATCTTAATAGTTTCCCCTCTAGGAGCTATTACTTTCCCAGTTGATAATTCCCTTAATGCATTTTGTCAATCAAAGCATATACCATGATGTCTAAGTCCCTCTTATCATTTTACTGACACTTAATATCACCTAAAATAATCCTAGTCCAATTCCAACTTTTTTTTACAGAGAAGGAAACCAAGACCATGAATGATTAAGTGAATAACTCAGCTAAGGTCAGAGTGGCAGAACTCTGACTAGAATCCTGGTCTCATTAAGTACTGATCCAGTGTAGTTTTCTGCTGTAGCACATTATCACTCCATCACAAATTAGTTATACTCATATTTAACTCTGTGATAAGCACCTACCATGTGTCAAGCCTTGTGCTAGCTTTCACACACACTGTTACTTAACTAAGGATTAACATATGAGACATATTTTCTAAGTTAAAACAATTATCAAATCAGGGCAAAAACTACCAACCCATTACAATCAATTTTGGGAGAAGGGATTTTTTCCTAAAAGGAATTTCAGGTAAGAACACTTTGGATCAGTGGGACCACTTAGCCTAAAGGCTGTCTATTCTTCTCTTGCCCCAGTGATGCCCACACTTCTCTCCTTACATGCCCGTCCCCCCAGAACTCAATATGTATTTGCTAGGGTATCTAACATTAATTCAACACTTCGTCTAATCCCATGAAGTTGCTGGCTTTCTTCTACCTGTTTTCTTTCCTTCTGAAAGGCATTTTCTTGGCTCCTGCAACAGGAACCGAATCTCAACTCCTTTTTCTCTCTTCACCCGTCATGCTTCTGCTACAGGTCTCACCTCAATACCCACCCTTTCCCTTCCAGGTGCGGCAGAGAGGAAACAGACACAATGTGGTGGAAAGGTCTTGTAAATAGTTTTGCCCATTTCAGTGAGTATGGAGCTGCTCTCATTGGAGCCTGCGGGGAAAGGCATCTGTGCCCGGAGGAAGGGAAGTTGCTCCCGCACTATGGATTCCTGGCTGCATTCTGAGGACCCTCAGATTTAATGGAAGTCTTTGTGCGAGCAACCCTTGGGTCACGAGTCCTCCCCCGCCTATTCGAAGCCCTGTCGGTTTTAACGGAGGTTGGCTTCTGGATGGTACATTTCACCATCTTCTCCGGGGCCTGTTTCTTTGCTTCCCTGGGCTTCGAGCATGGCCTCTTCTTGTCTGGGGTCCTGGGCCTGATGTCTTCCTTCTCGGTCCGTCCTCTCCCCTCGTCCACTGCCTTGGCCCTCCCTTCCTCCTTGGCTCTGGAACTCACCGGTTCCCTGGCCCTTGGCCTTAGCCTCCTCATCCTCATGTCTGCCCTCAAGCTCTGTCTCCACACTTCCTGGGCCTTCTTGGCCGCCCTGCGTCTCCCGCAGCGCCTGCGTGGGCTCCGCGTCCAGAGAAGGGTTCTCCTGGGCGAGCGGACACCCTCCTCCAAATTCTGGCGTCCCGGCTTTCTCTTCGACTTCATAATCTTCCAGACCCTGAAGCAGCCAGCGGCGTCGCTGCCGCTGACCCGGAGGAGGGTGCCCTTCACACGAGACCCGGACCCTTCGTGCAAGTGGTGGCCGCAGTTCCTGCTCACTCTGTAGCCGGCATTTCTGAGCTCCTTTTTGAGAGCTGCCAGAGTCAGCCCTTTGTGTGCAGCGATGGCTTGGAGCAACAGCTGGGACACTTTGAGCACGGAGAGCGGGCCCCGCCTCGGCGGTCCCCCGAGGACGTTTTCCGTGGTCTGCTGGGTTTTAACGTCAGCACCTTGGGATTCGCCCATGGTCTCGGCCCCCTCAGCCATGGCCCCGCTCCCACTTCCGCGGGGCCGCTGGCTTTGGACCTCACTCACCAAGGTGTGAGCTAAGGCTGAGGCTGGCTGGGCCACGTCACAAAGGCCGGTATGTCACGTCCTAGTAAGAGGGCGGCAGACTCCAACCAGGTAGCGGGTCTTTCTCACTTTTAATAGCTAATCAGACGCCACTTCCTTCTAGGTCTAAACCAATCCGGATTTTCAGAGCCTATGCAGACCTAAAGAATCACCTTCATAATGTCCAGGGTTTTGTTTCCTGCTCTTATGTTGATACTTCTCATTGATCTTGATCTCAGCTGCTTTCTGAAGGTCACTATTTTTCCTGTGGTCCTGCACGCCATCTACCCACATTCTCCAAAGTGAGAGAAGTTGCTCCCAACCATCCACAAGTAATACGATGCCTTCAGAAAGTAGGTGTAGTAGTCTATACAACACAACCCGGCCGAGAAACTCCCACTTTTAGGTCCCACCAGATAGATACATGCAGTCATATCTCCCTGACTCTCTGCACGGTCGATTTTTTGCAAGACTATGAAACAAAGGAAGAACCCACTGTGGTCTCTCTATCCTAAACATAATTCCCACACCTAGGAAGTTCAGATGCTTCATTCAATTGGATTGGAACAATCCAGATTCCAAATAGCCTAAGAACATTGGTCTAATCATTATTCTCCAAACAGACTTTGTGCTTTTCTGCTTCTTGTCCTGATTGCCTATCCCTTCCCTGTCTAGATAAATCCTGCTCATCTTTCAAAGTCCTACTAAATGCTTCCTTCACTGAAGCCTCCTCAGACTCTTTCAGTCAAATAATTTCTCTCCTTTTAACTCCCACAATTACTTCTGCAATCCTATACTGTTTTTTCTTTATCTTAAATTAATTTGGTATTAGATGGCACAATGTGGCACAATATTTAAAAAAAGAAAAAAACCTGCACCTGGAAAATATGGATACATATCCTAGCTCTTTAATAGCCATATGACATTAATAATCCCTTAATATTTTTGAATCCTACTTGTTTATCTAAAAAAAATAAAATAAAAAGGCTTAATAATCCCTTCCTACCAATATCACAGAATTATTGCAAAGATTCAAAAGAGGTGATGGTAGATAACAAAGGGCTACTCAAATATAAAGCATAAAATTAGCATAAAGTTATTTTACTCTGAATGTTAATGTCTTTCCAACTAAATAAAAAGGTCCTTGAGAGTCAGACAGTCTTTGAATTTCTATGCCCCATGCTGTACCTAACACTATCCTTCATTATATATAGCAGGCATTTGATTGAGTCTGCTTAAGTTCCTTGCTGGTGAGGAGGCTTTCTCTGGATTCAGAAGGAAACTCCCAGAAAATCAGGAGAAAAGAGCAGGATGAATTTCAAAGGACTGGAAATGAAGGCAACCAAGGAAGCCAGTTGCTCAAGGACCTCTTATTCTGGACACAGTTTAGCTGGGAATAATTCAAAGAATACGTCAAATTGCAAAGCATATCATACTTTTCCAGAGAACATTCACATATAATCTGCAGTCATAGGCTAGACTGTGGCATTGTTTCTTCCAGGAATCAGAGTTCCAGGAAGTTGCTTAGACCAGTGCTTCTTAAACTTTAATGTGCACTTACTTCATAAAGTACAGATTCCAATACATTAGATCTGGGATGGATCCAGAGATTTTACCTTTCCAACAAGCTCCCAGGTAGTTCCTGGTTAAAACACAAGTGCTGGGGGGTGGGGGAGAGTAGACAATGAGAAGGGAAGTGGCAGGAGATGAGGCTGGAAAGGTGGGTTAGGGCCAAGGTGTGAAGGACAGATACAATAATAATGACACAGATGTCAGTGGTCACACAGTAGTACATGGCAGAGTTTGGATTTAAACCTAAGTCTACTTAATTCTAAGGCCTGAGCTCTTAAAACTACTATGCTAGGTTTCCTTTTCTCCAAGGTTGACCCTCCCCACCCCCTTATACATCTCCATTATAGACTAGAGGGAAGTTTATAATCACAGCTCAGAATCAAGAGTATCTATAAGCACTCACTGTACCTTCTCCCAATCTTTTAATCAGGGCAGAGTACTGTGACGCTGAGGATCTCCAGGGGCAGGGGCTAACACATCAGCACAGGGACAGTGCATCAAGGAAGAGTTGCCAGATGGAGAGGCAGAACCACATGGTGCTGATTTCTCCCATTTGTGGCTATTCTTCATGGCTGCATAGGCCAGTGGTCACAGGATGGGGCAACCACCAGAGAAAAAAAGAAACAAAAGCGTTTGCTTTGAGAATAGGAGGAAAGTCAATGAAGTCTGACCTTCAAATCAGCTGACTCCAGGTAAAAACAGGTTGGCTGCACATAATGGTATCATCACAAAAGAAAGACAAGAACCAGATCAAACAACCATGTTTATTGATACCCCTGTGATTAGAAAGGAGGCCAACTGGAAACCTTTGGGAGAGGTTGAAATCAAAGGAAAAGAAATACATGAAAAAAATATCAAAAACACCTATGGCAAAAAAGAGCAAACATTTTGATTTATATATAACCATTCATTTCACATAGATTTCTGTATAAATATGCTGTAAGTAATAGAGGAATAACCAAAAATGGGAGGTAGGAAACAAATGCCCCACCACCACTCAGCTGGTTCAGAGGGCAAGAAAGCCAGTTGACATTTTCCATAGCACCAATCCCTCCCTCTTTAGAATAAATCTACTTGCTAACCCCCATTATCTGACACCCCAAAAGGAAAAGATACTTCAGGAAAAAATGATTTCTTCAGGAAAACAGTCAGTGCAAACCAACATCATACCCCCAATCAGGAATTACCAACCCCAGCTGCAGAAATATAAGACTGAACTATCCCTTCCAATTTTAATAGTCTATGATTACAAACTAGAATTTATCACCTAGAGAGGACAGCACCACCCTGTTGTGAGAAAGAACAATAGCTCTTAATTTCTGGAAGTCCTGGGGGCTGGAGGTGGCAGGGGGTGGGGGGAGAGGAAAAAGTATACTTGGGAATAATGTCTGGTCGTAATCCTTCTGCTTCAAGTTCCAGAGCAAGATCGTTTTGTCCTTGGTTGGAAACAAGACCCTTCCTCTAGGGTAGTCATGCCTCTATGAGGTGTCTATAGAGTATCTTCGTTGATTTAGACAATAAGCAACCTTTAATTACTATACTAAATTCTAAGAACATCAAGGTTTTATTAATCTCATTCCCTCATACAGAGTTATATAACTCTAACGTCACCAAGGATAACTCCATGTCAGAGCACAGCAAAATTTAGTAGCACACTCTGATCTAACCTCAATCTATATCTCACTGCCCTTCCCTGATCCACAGGCCTGGGGTTCCCAGGGGCTAGGTCTTTCTGACTCAGTTATCTTGCACTGATTTGATTTATCTCTCCCCAAACTGAATGACAGAAACCTGTTCAACAATCTATTACAACTGACCTTAAACTGCTAGCTCTTTTTTTGCAAAAGTAACTTGCCATCTCATTTTGTTTTATATTCTAAAACCCTTTTCCTCTCCTGAACTATTGTGCCTTCCACTTTAATGCAAAGAACCCCACAACAGTTATCTGAGCAAATAAGCTCACTAGTCCACTCATGGCTTTCGGGAGGACTAAAGTGGTTTCACAAAAAGGAATGCAAAGATAAAATATCAAGATTCCTTAAAAGCATGGAGACAGTCTGGCAATTGGACATCATCATTTTAATCCTCAGCCCAACTGTTCAGAAGTGAGTACAGAGAATCTAGATCCAGGTGATCTTACTGGAGGGCCAGGCAAACCTCTCAGCAATTAGCCTGCAGATATGAAGATCTGGTCTCCCTAACCCCTCCCAAGAAGCTCTAAGAATACCCATCCCCACATACATAAAATCTATATCCCCCCAAAAAATGACAGCAAGAAAGAAATATGGGCTTTGGTATTACTGAAATCTAACCCAAACAAAGATATGCTATACAAATTAAGTCTTTCATCCAAGGCTTATTAATAGTTAAGTCTTTCCATGAGTCTAAAATATGGGACATCTAAGAACTGTTCTACTACAGTCAGTTACATCTCAAGCTGAAAACCCATTTCTCTGAGGATTTATACTTTCAACATGAGGCTTGGGAAATCGTAAGACACAGTCATACTGCAGCCCCCCAATAACACTACATCCTGGGGATCATTCAATTCTGTTATCATAATTCCCAGCCATCCACCCCTTTTCAGATTCCCAGAATATTGTACAAATGAAGCCAAAGCAGAAACAGAAATTTGCAAAGTAGCAATCATTTACCATGTATATGTTAACTCCTATAGTCCGAGAATTAAAACATCTCATACCTACATGCCCAATTTGATATACCAATCCCACCATGAAGAACTTTATTTCTATCCTAATCTCTAAACACCTAAAGTTCCACAAAACTGAATTCACTTATTAAAAATTGCTTTTTTTTTCCATGCTAAAGAATACAGCCAAAAGCAGGCTTTATTTGCATTCCCATTTAACAATACACATTCTTGTATTATACTGTATAACTTCCCCCAATTTTTTCTTCAAAATTCCAGTTCTAAATATTTCAATTCAAAAAACAATTCTCGGGCTTCCCTGGTGGCGCAGTGGTTGAGAGTCCGCCTGCCGATGCAGGGGACATGGGTTCGTGGCCCGGTCCGGGAAGATCCCACATGCCGCAGAGTGGCTGGGCCCGTGAGCCATGGCTGCTGAGCCTGCGCATCGGGAGCCTGTGCTCCGCAAGGGGAGAGGCCACAAGAGTGAGAGGCCCGCGTACCACAAAACAAACCAAAAAAACAATTCTCCATTTCCTGGGAAAATAATACCCATTTTTAAATTTTAACACAACTACTCTCCCATGGATTTTTGTCAGCCTTTGATCCATCTAGGGAAGAAGAGCTACTATTTATTGAAGGCCTATGGACCAGGCATTACAATTAGTTATAAATTATCACTAATTCTTTCAACAACACTGACAAGTGGATAATATTATTCACATTTACAGATGAGAAGGTAAATGGTGTATAAAAGAAAAATTTCAGAATGAGAATTCTCCACATCTCACAAGTAAACCCAACAAGGATCTCAAATTTTCCTCTTCCACCTAGGGAAGAGAAATTGCAGCACCATCTCTCTTTTCTTATATCATTTCACTAATCAAAGCTTTGAACAAGCAATACATATTCTCCTTTTCCTACCATAATTTCTACCATACTAGCTATTCCAGTTACCAGTTTATTGCCTCTCCACCAAATTCACCCTTTGTTGTGGGATATGTGAAAATGGATCTGGGCCTTTTAAATACTTTTCCTTTTCCAGCTGACATGATGTTAAGCCTTGTCAGTAGAGGGCACTGGAGAGACACTGCAGGAGGAAAGGGTTTTTCCTCCTTTACTCAACACAAGAAAATTCCTACTGGTGAGAAATGCTGTGAATGTAATTAATGTGGAAGATGTTTCAGTACTACTCTTAACTTTCTATGCATATGGGAATACATAATGAAGGGAAACCCTAAGAGTGTAAGAACTATAGGAAGGCCTTTGGTTATCACTCATCCCTTTGGATACATATGAGAATTCACACTAGAATAGAACACTATGAACATAAGTGTGTTTTTGAGTCTTTAGCATTAGATCTGTCCCTGGAGGGCATGAGAATTCATACTGGGTACAATCCCTATAAATGTAATTGATATGGAAAGGCTTTCAGTGTAAATTCTACCTACACTGCACACATAAGACTGGTGAGAAACTCTATGAATGCCATGATTGTGAAACAATCTTCAGGAAGCACTCATGAGAACTCACACCTGAGAAAACCCTATGCTTATAATCAATATGAAAAATCCTTCAGGAGTAGCTTTTCCCTTATTGTGTAAAACAGAACACAAAATGGAATTCACTGACTGTGGGAAAGCCTTCAGTGCTACTTTATCCCCTAGGAAACATGACAAACCACATCAGAGAAAAGCCCTATGAATGTAATCAGTAGAGAAAATCCTTCCACTGAAGTTCTTTGCTCACTGTGCATAAGAGAGTACTCAGTAGGGAGAATTCCTATGAATGCAATGAGTGTTGAAAAGCACTTATTGATCTTTCATCCCTTAGACAATCTAAGAGAATTCACACTGGACAGAAATCTTATGAATGTTACCAATGAGTAGGGGGCAATTTCTCTATCCTTAGGTAATGGATGAGCAGTCA